AGGTGAGGGTTGGAATGTAGACAGACCTGATCCAGGTGAGCTTCTTTTGCACCAGGTACATCTTAATCACAAAAAAAAAAAAAAACGTTACTGTGGACCAGTGGTTGCCAAACTGTTTCATATATTTATACTGTATGTACACACATGACTAATAATAACTATGTATGTATAAGCCTACAGTGTTTTTACAGTCTCATTTTCATAGTTGAAGTAAATGTTTATCAAATAATGTCTTACAGCTAGTCAGAGTTCCCTTTCACATGTCACAAGTCCTGACACATTTACTAAGTCATTCACATATAAAATAAATAACTTAGGCCCCAGTACAGAGCCTTGAGGGGCTCCACATGCAATATACTAAGCTTAGATCTTATTTGTACAAACTGTTTCCTGTCTTCCAAATAACTATATAGTCATTGTTGTGCAGAACCTCTACTACCATATTTTCTTTATTTTTCTAGAAGAATACTGTGATCAATTGTGTCGAATGCTTTCTTTAAATCTACATAAATACCAACACTATACTGTTTTTGATCGATAGCGGTTGTTATTTGTTCCATAAATTCCATAAGAGCCATTGATGTGGATTTTTTATCTCTAAACCCATACTTACTACTGCTTAAGATATCGTGCTTTTCGATAATTCAATCAATCAATGTTGATTCAATCTAATGACAAATAATTTCTCTAAAATTTTAGAAAACTGTGATCACCAACAGGATTATAGACAGGAGGCTGATATCAAGCTCACAGTCTAAACTCCACAAGTCTTTGAGGAAATACTCAGACACAACTGAGTTTATACATGGACAAAAAAAAAAAAAGTCAAGGTCAGTCACAATTTGTTCACAACAGATTTTATTGTGGCTGTCCTTTAGTAGTGGTTACTCTTACATTAGATCTGCCATATGGCTACAGTAGAGGATGTATTGCACACAAACATCAGAAAGCACTACAGGAAACATTTCCACTCAAAACTAATCACTATAGGTTACATATGTATGTGTTGGTAGGTGGGTTAAGGGAAGAGAAGATGCAAGACCACAAGACGAATATACCACATCGCTGCAGACAAATGTTAATAAAGTTCTCCCAAGAGAAAGGTGAGGAGGAGGGAAAGGCAGATAAATAGTCAGAGAAAGAGTAGAGACAGAAGGCAGAGAAAAGAGAAATATCAGTTCAGTGAGAGTGTAAATTTATTGTGAGTGTTTGAGATTCTTCTGCAGGAAAACTAGTCTGTGGTGGTATCATGAACACTTGACGTCATTTCAGAAAAAGCCACTGAAATTCCTTTAAACAGACCAAAAAATACACCGAAGCCTGTAATCGTCGTGTGGTGGTTTGCTGAATGTCTCTCCAGAAGGTTGCCTGTCAAAGTTGATTTGAGGCCCCTGTAGCATTGGTTTTGGTATGAGCCGTGTTTGTTCTTTAAAAGAGTCTCGTTTTGGTTTTTACATAGCTTGACCTCTCAGAAGACTACGCTCCTTCCAGAAGCTGCTTTGTTGTCATTCTGGTGCAAGGTTTTTAGCATTAGCCTGTATTTGAACAAGTTTCCTGTGACCTCAGAGCCACAGGCGTTCATCAGAATTTATGCGGAATACATACATCATGGCACAGCTTGCAGAAATCATACATAACTTGAGTAACATTTAAAATATGCCTATGCTGCCGTGTTGTTCGGAATGCAAATATGAGCAAAACCCTCATTAACAGACAAATATAAGTGGCATAGCAAAACACAGGCATGTCTCCCAACCACTTGACCAGCCACAATGTTCTTTATAATTATAGTACAATGTTTTTAGAAAAAACAAGACATTTTAAGGTTTAGGAAAATATCCTGCTTCACCAGCTTTACATCGGGAAATACTAGCTCCCCATTGTTGTTTACATTAAAAACAGCTATAAGAAATAAGGTTGAGTTCATTTCTTTTAAAAAACACCTTAAAATATGTAAAGAAAGCACATAAATTAAAATGAAAGGCAGTATTTTAAAAAGGCTTTACAGATATTACAATCTGTAAAAACTTTTTTTTATACAAAGGCAAAGGAGAGTGCTATGAACTTCTTTGTGCAAAGTGTAATAACTTGAATTGAACTTTTGAAACTATTTCTAAAACATGAGCTGCAACTTAAATCAGACATTAACTGGATAGTAAATAAACTCAGCCATTTCAAAGGAAAGGTTAAATAGTAGCAGCACTTTAACATGTTCATGATGAATAAGATGTGAAGCTTCGTATTGATGCTCATCACTGTCAAACAACCATCTATTTGATCACAATTATCATTTCTCCCCATGAAAGGTCATGTTGAGTACAGTGGTGGGCACAACTTACCAAAGTCAGCGTCACTAACCACCAGTCCATTAAACAAGAATATTAGCTCCGCTAACGTGAAACTAAACTCAGTCTGTATCACTTGTCTTCTTCCCTTTCCAGTTGAAGACTGGTGAGACTGACACAAACCTGTTGTTTAATTCTGTTGGTTAGATTTGTAGGTGGATGGGAAAATTTGTGGTGATTTGACCAATCCAAATCAGAAATAGCCCCGTCTAACACAGGTGGGCACACAAAGATGCTACACACTTACACAAAAAATGATGAAAAACAAGTTTTACACAGCAAATGTTGTGGAAGCGTGCAGAAATTCACAATACTGTTTTCACTTTCTCACCGCAGCGTTGACCAATCACGTTTCATCACGAACACAGAGTGAGCCAATAGCATCCCTTCAGCTAATCACTTCTTGTTACATACAGTGTTCGACTTATTATTATTTTTTGATGAGCTTTATTGAACTGCAAATTTACAAAACAGCAAGAGAAATGAAAAAATTTACAATTTATCGGAAGTTGTGATCAATGTTTACAAATTTAGCAAAAATGCTAATGCGCTAAATGAAAATTTGTGCTACTATCAGCGTTTTAGCCATTTGGTAGAACTGTGCCCACCACTGATAGGATGTTTAGTTACCTTCATCTTGTACATTCATTTTGACTCCCTAAGGCGGTTACAGAAGGAGTTATGTTTCAGCATTTGTTCTGGATGAGAGCTGTCATTTCAGAACTGAAGAGTCTGCGTTTGAAGAGTCTTTATTGACTCAAGAGGAAATAAATATATTATTGTTTTTGTACTGGGTCCTTCTTAATGGAACAATCATGGATATGCTGGTCTAAATTCTCCCCTCCTTTAACCCTATTATCAAATAAACAAATAAACATCAGTTTTCTTTTTAATGTGTCTCTTTTTAGGCTTTTGCTACATGGTTTGTTTTTGTGTGTGTATACACTCCTTCCTGACATCTTGCCAAACTGGGCTACAGCTCTATCTTACAAGCTGGGAAGGATTCATCCTGCATGACAACTGTGCTGCTGCTCGCCAGGACCATGATGTTCAGCTCCTGCTGCTTGTCATGAGTCTCCTGGTACCACTCCCTCATCACATCCGTGTCATGGGTTGGAATTAGAGTGACCTGAAAACAGAAAGTACCAAAAAATTGGTTTTGGATTGTGTAAAAAATAATAATAACAATAAAAACTAAAACATGTTGTTCTCTTTGCCAATAATACTGTTTTTTAGTCATGTTATATAATTGTGTGTATAAAAAATCATGTAGCCATTACAATATTGTATAATGTTTATTTTAAATAAGGAAATGCACATCGTCCACCACTTTTCATGCCAGAGTTATAGCAATTTTGGTTAATCCTCGAAAAAGTTATATTTAATCTTATGCAGTCTTTTAGCATTTAGAACATATGTTGTGGGTGACCAAACTACAATCACACAAAATTTGATATCAATATTTGTAAAACTAACTGAATTATAGCCATTAAATACGTTAACAAATGAATTCAAGTTGGCAACCATCTTGAATTGGGATGACCCCAACAGTTAGTCATAATTATGGGTAAACATTCAGTGATTAGTTTCTGAAAATTTAATAAGATCTGCCCAGTGGTTAATAGGATATTTCAAGTACAGATAAACACATCTGACTTCAATAGTTATTTCTAAAGTTTTAAGCAAAGATATTGCAGAATGTGTAGAACATGGAGTGTGCTTTGGGTATGACTCAGCCATTACCACTCCAGATTTTGGCTTCATAGCTGCAAAATACTGTAGATTTGACTTGTTTACATCATAGCCAAATGAACACGTGCACGTTTACACACACAGGTAAAGGAAAAACATAGTCCAACATTTTACTTGTTCACAGTGCAGTTCAATAAAGCATTTGAATCACAATGTGCAATACATGCTACTGCTAAACAACACCACTTTCTTGGTCATAAAAGTCAGGTTTTTGGTAAGTTGGTTTTATTGATTGGGTTTATGGATTCATTTAGTACTTTTGAATATATGATCTACATAAAATATGATTTAAAGAAACTAATTTAAAGCATTATAAATCTGTTATATACTGCAGTGCCCAAGAGTAATTTAAAAAGTACAGAAAGGTTATTACCTCCGCCAAGGGGAGGAGATAATGTCTTCAGTCGTGTCTGTCTGTCTGTCTGTCTGTCTGTCTGTCTGTCTGTCTGTCTGTTGGTGAACAAAATTACTCAAAAACTTGTGGACGGATTGTTATGACATTTTTACCACACGTGGGTACTGGCCCAAGGAACACACCACTAAATTTTGATGATGTTCCGGATCACGCTGCAGATACAGGAATTTTTTTCTTTTAATTCAAGCGAATCAGTAGGGCTGCGCAGTGTCATTACGTCACACGCATGCCTGTACAAAACAGGAAGTACAAGTCGCAAACTCGCTGGGACTACACATCCCAGTATGTCTATTATCAGGAAAGTTGTGATTATTCTGTTATCAACTACTTCTGGCGATGTTACATGCTGTCTGGAGATGTACAAAAAGAAATGAGATTCTCTTCATGTTACAGGAATAACAGGACACCGACAGCGGGAGGAGGGTCCTGCTGCAGCTAAGCCAAACCTGGACTGTTCGGAACAGCTGATCAACCTGGTGTCCCCTCCACATAAGAACTTTCTTGTGTGATTGCTCTGAAGTTCGTGGGAGTGTTTGTGCTGAATGCGCTCACATGCTGTATTTTGCTTCAATCACTCACTTAATAAATAAATAAATAAATAAATAAACATTTAAAAAACACTCGCTTCATGAGCCGACTGTACCAGTAAGCACTTTAAAAAGAGAGTCAAACCATTACAAACTCATAAAAAAAAAAAACGTTTTACACGGTGGTATGTGACTGATGAAAACTTAGGAACTTAATCCCAGACCAGTTTGACGATGAATAACATCGGGTGACGAATCTGATTTTTGTTTTCACACGACTCCACCGAGAAGAAATCCTGTGCATACTGCCTGCTTAAATGTTCGCTACATCAGAACCTATTCGGCAAACGTTTCCATCTCTGCTTTTGCACATTAACTCCATTACAGGATGGGGAAATTGGTCTTGGCGGAGGTTTGCACTCTCCGAGTGCTTCTAGTTATTTGTGACCCGTCACATCGAAATGAGGATTAAGTCCAAAAGTGGTATATGAAGAAATAGGCAAATATAGTGTTTTGACTAAAATGTTAGCAAAAATTGCATTTTGTCAAAATATAATGAAAAAATGCCTTATCAATGTCTCATTAGAATGAACTGTCTGAAATATAATTATAAAACAAAATTTTGAAGCACATTTTTGAGCAGTAGCAACAAAAAAACTGATTTTGAGGAAAAATGCCTTAAAATTTTGAGATTTTCCCTGTGAGCTAGCAAAGTTTTGTTTCTTTCCAGCTGGGAATTGTCAATATTTAAATATAATTTGAAGTTTCCTCTTTATAAGGACATCAAAACTTCCGCATTAAAATGACATCAAATTAGGATTCAGACCAAATATTTATGTATTATTGTAACTAACAAAACAAATTAAGTCAAATATATGGATTTAATTTTGGTATCAGAATGATTCAGGTATCAAAATGTAGCTTTTAAAGCCAAGAATCTGAAAATGTAATTAGGTCATTYTGACCAAATTTGACTTAATCCTTATTTCGATATGATGGGTCACATATGTTAACAACCTTGTTAGATATGTCAAACTTTATAGTACTCTAAAACCTCGGAGGAGATACTGACAAAAAGGAAGAGTCAGGATTCTTGTAAAATAAAAAACAACTTTAGCTTTTAATTCTAAATGTTCAATGACTTATAATACTTTCACTAGTATTTAAAACTTACTTGCATGTTGTTTCCCCACTGGGCTTTTCCTTCAAGTAAAGCATCAAGGACAGCTCGGCTGGGTTCCTGAGCTGTCAGGTCATTGCCACTGACAACAAAGTAAGCGGATCGGACACGCTTGAAGAACTCCGCATCCACATTTTTGGCACTGCAGTGATTGGGGATGTAAACCAAATCCATGTACATAGGAGGACAGTTGGACAGAGATGACGCTTTTCCACCTCCAGTGTCTGCAAAACATAGATTTGCTTTACAACACCATTTCAACAAATGTCTGGTAACGATAGGCAGCAATGACAAAACCAACATAGTCTAAAATGTACTCACTTTTAACACCTTTGGAAGCAGAGGTATTAGTCGCATTTTTGGCATCTTTACCTTCTCCAACCCCCTTCTTTGGAGAAGCAGTCTTTGAGTCCTTGATTTTTGACGGACCAGTCTTCCTAGCTGGTGATGAGGACTTCTTTGAGAGCTTTTTCTTACTGGACTTGTCTACACCATTTGTGTTAGTATTGTGAAGGTTCTCCTCTGCCTTTAGTGCTTCTGGGTCCACCATACAAACATCATGGGTGCCTGAAGTTGGAGCCGTGTCCCTGAGTGCCATTGGAGGAGGATCAGCCTGCCTGTAGGTCAGAGTTCTGTCAGTAGGCAGAGTCTCAGAGTCATCTTCAGAGTCTATGTTTGCATCCGCTGTGATAGAGGGGCACTCTTCAGTCCCAGGTGGTACATCTGAATCTGTCTGTGAGGGAGCAGACTCACTGATGGATGTGGGCGGGGTATCCTCACACTGTTTGGCAGAGAGCTTACCTCCTGGAGGTGGAGGCCCTCCCCCTGACTTGGCCAGAGGCTTCTTGTCATCAGTGGCATTTTCTTCATTGATGAAGTATTCTAGAGGGTTAGGGTTAATGAAAGATGGTGATAATTCAGTCTTGGGGTGGCGATACTCGCAAGAAGAGACAAGACATAGGTCAACGTCTGTCTTAGATAAAGCACAAGGACTCTTCTTTGTGGTGTCTGGTGCTTTTGAGCCACAGGGAGAATTGTGATTGTTTTGATCAGTGGAAAAGGCTAATTGTGACGGTGAAGGAAGTTTAGGACTCACAGGAGATTCTTTTTCCGGTATAAAATCTTCACATTTAAAAGGATTAGTCTCCTTTGCAGGGGAAGGTGTATCTTTCTTTGAAAGATCAAAAGACGCAGATGGGGAAGAAGCTTTAGGAGGTGAGGGTGAATTGTCACATTTCTGCCATGAATCAGATTTATTTGTGCTCTCAGACAGTGAGATGGGGCTGGTACCGTCTTTGACTATAGGGCCTCCTAGAACTGGAGATGGCTCATTGGAATGGGGAGAGAGGGTGAGAGATGATGCCTTTGGGGTGACTGGAGATTTATCTGTCTGTTCCACAGCTGTGTGGGGGACCTCTGTTATCTGACATGGGGTTGTAACAGATGGTGTGGACTGAGATGCATCGGATGGAGATGCAGAAGTGGTACAGACTAAATCACTCTCTTCAAAAAGCACAGGACTTTCTATGGCAGGTTTCAACTCTTTTGATGCTCTTGCATCTGTTCCATCTGAGGGACTATGGTCGACCTCAGTTGGTCCATTTTCTGTAGCATGCGAGTTACTGCCCAGTGACTGGTGCTCTGGAGACTGCTTGCTGAAATCCAGTGCTAACGAGTGATCAGGGGAGTCTTGGCCTAACTCTACAGACATGGCAGAATGCTCTGAGGATTTACTATCCTGTGTGTTGCATTTGGTTTTAGGTGAGATTTCTGGAGAAATGGACATTGGCCTTGGACTGTCTTCTTTAGTTGGTGATCCCTCAGCCTCCTGGAAGGCTGTTGGGGTCTGGACCACAGAGACAGACAATGAGTCATCTACCTCTGTTGAGTGAGGAGATCCCACCTCAGCATGAAGAGAGGAGCCAGTTGTTGGCTCTGGAAATGAGCTGGTGGCCAACGAGGCTGTGGATGCTGAGGCTAGATGTGAAAAATTATCTTCTGCCACTACTTCTTCCAGTGGAGTTCCAGACTTGTCTGATGTGGTACCCTCAGAAATAGACATTTTACTCTCTTCTTTAAAACTTGCAAAAGGATTGGTGTCTGATTCATGCTTGGCCAGTGGAGCTGGGGAAAGCACTGAATGGATATTTTCAACAGGTTTCTTTGATTCCATATCAAACAAGGCCTCCTTCTTCATTGAGGATTCAGAGTCAAGTGGTGGGCTTTTCGGAGGGGAAACTACCCTCTCTACTGGGGAACAATGTTCTAGTTCTGGTTCATTTGGCTCCGGGGTAACTATGTCAGTGGATTCTTCTTTATCACTTGTGACCTCCACAATGACTGGACCCTGTGACTTTGCTAGTGACACAAATGGTACAGCTCCCACTTTCTCTTCCACTGGTGACTGATAGTAAGGGGTGTGACCAGAGGACTGAGGTGAATCAGCTCCTTCCACTGGCATGTCATCTGGGCACTTAGAAGCATCAGTTCTTGCTAGAGTGCAACTAGCCAGTGTGGATGACAGTTCTATTGGAGCAGCCAACATTGATGGAGGATCATAAGTTTCCTTAGACTCCATCGAGGGAGAACAAACAAGAGGTGATGTTGGGGATTTTGACTCAAGTTCAGGTGAGTTAGCTTCATTTTTAATGTGTGACTCTTGAGCAGTGGCAAATCCCTCAACTGTTCCTGTAAAGGGAAACTCTTTACCAAATTTATCCTCTTCTAAAGATGACGGAGGAGATATTGTAGAAGCAGAATGGTCATAGTTCTGGCCTTCTGTGGCATCAGAGTGACTTGATCCTGGAAAAGCCTGAAGTGGAGAGAGCTTTTTATCAAACTCTCCTGATGCAGATTTTGCAAATCTGCCAACATCCCCTGAAGGAGCTCCTGTCTCATGATTGGCTTCATCACTCATAATATTCCTGGGAGTCAACATCTCATCCATTGAAGTAGGTACAGTAGTAACTTCAGTAGTGGACTGTGTGTGGCCAGATGTGCACAATGGCTCCTCATGGGGTTCAGCTCTGTTGTCTTCATCTGAAGCTGTGGAATTCTCAAAGCCAGCTGGAGACACCTCATCATGGATAGATGCAGCAGGAGAAACTGGTGAGGACACTTTAGGTGAGGTTGATTCTATAATATTCAACCTTTCTGTTTCTTTAGAACTTACAGGCTTCTCTTCTACATTTGTACATGTCACATCATCATCATCGTTTTTCACATTATCACTTTGTTTTGGTTCATCATGTTTAACTTCATGCTCATTCGTAAACTGTGTAAGATCACTCTCCTGATCTGCTTCCACCCTTTGTGGTTCATAAACCTGCTCCGTCTCTCCCTTCTCTTCATAATCCCCTCCCTCTGAAGTTTCTTCTAATACAGTGCCCTCATCTTCAAACCTCTCACCAACACCATCGGTAAGTTTTTCCTTGAGCACTTGTTCTTCTGGAGTCTCTTCGTTGTCTCCCTCTGCTTCTGTTGTTGTTATACCCTCATCCACAGACTCTAATGCTTCTGGTGACTCTTTGATTTGTGTTATTTGCTCGTCATGGATCAATGATGCCTCTCTTTCCTCATTTTGTTCTACATTTGCCTCACCTTCAATCAACTCTTCAGCTTTGAGCTGCTCAAAGTCTTTGGTGAGGTCTTCTGGTGAGGACATCAAAGATCTTTCTGCTTCTAAATCTTCTGCAACACTGACTGCACTGGTTGCTATTTGTTTGCCATCTACTTTTGTCTCTTTCTTCAGCACCTTTGACTTTCCTTTATCTTTCGATTTGGATGGAACTCCTAAATCTTTTTTTGAGGAGTCTTCTTTTTTCAGCGGCTTTGGTTTAAGATTCTTTTCTTCTCCTACACTGGTGGTCTTTTTCACATCCTTAGAGGGCCTTTTAACATCTTTCTTTTGTTCTTTCTTCTCTTCTTTTTTCTCTTTCATTGGTGAATCTTTTCTGATATCCTTTTTCACAACTCTTTTTGCCTCATCTTTCTTGACTTTTTCATCCCTTTGAGCTTCGTGTTTGGATGTAACGTCTTTCTTTGCAACTTCTTTTTTAACTTCCTTTTTCTTGTCCACTGAAACTTTGGCTTCTTTTTTAAGCTTTTCGATTTTGGGTTTTGCCTCTGACTTTTTGTCCGGCGTTTCATTTTGGTTGGTTTGATCAGTCCTAGCTTTGGATTCTTTTTCAGGTACCTTTGCTTTTTTTAGCAGAACCTTTTCTTTTTTCTCAAGCTTTTCTGTTTTCTCTTGAGCCGATTCTACATCTGTCTTAGCCTTATCTGCCATTTCTTCTTTTGAACTCTTTTGGATGTTTTTGATTGGCGATGGCTTTGGGGTGGACTTGAGGCTCTCTTTGCTGTCTGTTCTGTGTTTCATCTTTGTTTGCTTAAGTGTTGGTGTTGATGGCAAACTAGAGGACAAAGTTTGTTGAGTGACAACTGCCTGTTTCAGGAAATCTAAGTGTTTTAGTTTTTCTAAGCCTTCAAAGATGTGATCTTGGGTGGCATTTCCTGAGAAAAGGACTCGCACAACCTTATCTGAGGGATTTGCAGGGTGCCACACAATTAGTGAAGCAATAGAAGTCAAGTAGGAAAGAGGAAACTCTGATTCTTTACCATTTGGAAGTAGAATGGAAGTAGTGTCCCTTTCACTTCCTGTCCACTGCTTCATAAAGTGCTGCATCTCTTTGCTGTTCTTTGCAGGGTTAAGCACATACATTTCAAGCCTTCCGACTCCCATTTTTTGAAAAAGTGTGATTGGTTCTATAGTGTTTCCTACAGGTTTTTGCAAAGGCTCAATCCTCAAATTTAGCTTGTTTAGAAACTGTTGGGTGATTGCCGCTTCCTCGACATTTTTCCGCACCCTGTAATTAGGTTCAGGGTTATCCAGATTTTCAGGAAAATTCACAAACACGACACCAATATCTGGAGAAATCATGTTCTTCACCCAGTCACTGTTAGCTGTTGAACCCTGAGATTGTTCCTCCTCCAGCTCAGCAATCTTCCTCTGCAACATGCTGTTAATACCTGGAAGATTGTCATCGCCAATGTGTGTCAGGAGGATGGAGTCCACCCGGTCTAAGTGTCTCACCAGTTTCCAGAAGCATGACTTCCTGTCTGAGCCACCATTAATGAGCATGTTGAAACCATTTACAGCAAAGAGAGCAGAGTCACCTCGGCCACCAGGGAAAATGTAACAACATGGTTTGGAGAGTTTGAGGAATCCACCTGAGGTTGGAGGTTCTAACATGTCAAAAGGAGATGGGATCTCTACTGATTCTGATAAATACTCGGTGAACTCGGAGAGGCCCTCCATTTCAGGAAGGATGAGAGTGGAATTGAGTTTCATGTTAATGAAGTCTTGCAGGTTGTGTTTGTCCAAGTTGGAGTTTTTCCAGTCTCCTTGTTCAGGGCAGGACAGTGTAAGGTTGGCTTTGTTCGCTGGGTGAATGGTGCTGAGCAATTCACCAATCTGTGCAAAACACACACACAAAACAAACTATGTATGAATATTTGACATCTTATAAAATGATTCACCATACACTAGTGATTCCTAAATATTTTTTCCTCTAAACGGGGCCTTTTGTTTTATATGGATCCTGTAAAGTATTATTTCTGTTCTTATGCTAAATATCCAGAAACATGTATGTTTAGTTTGTAATAAAAATAATATAAAGGTATAAATAAGTACAGTTCTTAGTGGTAGATCAACATTTACTTCTAGCAAGTGGTAAGAATTAATTTAAAAGGTTTTTCTGTCCCATTTGGTTAACTGGTTGGTTGGAACCATTATTAGATGAAGGATAAACTGGCTGATTGAAACCATCAGTTTTTAAAGTGTTAACTGGTTAGTTGTACCCATCAGAAGTTAAAGGGGAACTGGTGTTTGATGGACCCATCATTAGTTAAAGGGTTAACTGGTTGGTTGAACCATCTGTAGTTAAAGGGTTAACTGGTTGGACCATGGTTGTTAAAGGGTTAAATGTGAAAATCCTTTTTGTGAGAAACATTCTCAAAAGATATATGCATGGGCGTGGAAGTGGGGGTGGGGGGTGGAGGACCTGAGTACCCAGGGCCCAAGAAGGGAGAGGGGTCCACGGAAGTCCTGATTTTATTTTTTGGCATGGATAGAGGCCCACTGACATCAAGAGTGTACAGGGCCCAGAATTTGGTGCTACACCCCTGGACACATGTGTACGTTTTGTGTAAAAAAAAACTTCCTATCATTTAAGTATCAATGCTGGCATGCGTGGGTTCTCTCCGGGGCTCATCAGTAACTCCTAGATGTGAGTGAGAGAGTGAATTTTGTTGTTTGTCTCTGTGTCCATGTGATGGACTTGTGAACAGCTTAAGGTGTACCCCTCCCCACTCCACCCCTTTGCATAGTGACTGCTGCATATGGTCACCAATGACCCATGTGACCAAAAGGTAGGAAGTGGGTAAAATATATCGCATGGATTTTTTTTGCATTGTAGCTGTAATAAACAGTTTTCCTGTTAAGGTAGTTTAATAACATGGTTGCTACTTTATTTAACTTTCTGACACAGTCCATCCATCCATCCATCCATCCATCCATCCATCCATCCATCCATCCATCCATCCATCCATCCATCCATCCATCCATCCATCCATCCATCC